CTTGTACTTTGGGGTGGTGCCATTTACTGAAATGGGTAGCTGTAAAGAGGAGGTTTGAGGTGGAGGAAGCAGACAAGTACATTTATATCTCTTATCATTGTTTAAGTCTGTGTTAATTGTGTGATGCTATACTATATTCTTTTGTGCCTTTGTCTAAATTCCTTATGAATGGGGCTCACTGTACCTACCTTTGTGTCTGTGTAGATGTTTCCCTGATTATTTACCACATTTTCTTCATTATCTATTAATTCATTCAATAACAATTTATTGGGCATCTACCTTCCTAGGCATTGGGGTAAAAAATTGAATAACGCAATTTCTATTTCAAGGAGTATGTCATCTACCATATGAGACAGATACATATAATAATGATTATTCTAAAATAAGAACTATGAAAGTGGTATTCCAATTCTCCAATGTTACTAATACATTCAAATTTTCTGCCCATCTTTAGAAATTGTGTTATTTGTTCTTACTACCATCCTGTACTGGATACTGGCTTGTCCTCACCTGTGGGCTCAGATTTATTCCCATTCTCAAAAAGTGAGTGCAAGTATCACTTGACAGCCAAATCCCTGACTTGGACTCAGACAACCCAGGATGCCAACACTTGCTGAAAAAACTACTCAGCTTCCCTGTGTCTCAGGTTCCTTGACTGTAAAATGGGTATAATAATACTATCTGTATCTTCAGGTGTTGTGAGAATCAAATAAGATAATACATGCAAAATACTTGGAACGATGTGTGGTGCTTATTTGATGCTTCATAAATGTTCATTCTTACTATGAAAGTAGATGAGGTATCAAGGATGTTTTCATAAAAGAAATGATTCTCTGGTTGAATTGTTTTAAATGAATGTGAATCAGCAAAAAAATTAAAATAGCATTTTCTCATTTTTTTCTCTTTACTGCCCTCTTTCCTTCACCAATCTAAATTCACCTCTTGCACCTGCTCAGAACTTTACTCAAATATCATATTCTCATTGAAGCTTTCTCTGACACTTTCCACCCCTAAATGTTTATCTCCTTCTCTACTACTTTATTCTTTTCCATTGCTCTTATATACTATACTTTTTACTAACATAATTTATTTATTTATTTATTTTTGAGGTGGAATTTCACTCTTGTTGCCCATGTTGGAGTGCAGTGTGTGATCTCCACGGCTCACCGCAACTTCCGCCCCCACCCCCAACCCCCACCCCGCACCGTGTTCCAGCAATTTTCCTGCCTCAGCCTCCTGAGTAGCTGGGATTACAGGCACGCACCACCACGCGGAGCTAATTTTGTATTTTTAGTAGAGACAGGGTTTCTCTGTGTTGGTCAGGCTGGTCTTGAACTCCCGACCTCAGGTGATCCGCCAGCCCCGGCCTCCCAAAGTACTGGGATTACAAGCGTGAGCCTCTATGCCTAGCCTAACATAATTTGTTTATAACCTGTCTTCCTTATGATAAGACGAGTTTTATGAGGGCAGAGATTTTTGCTTGTTTTATTTGCTAATATATTATATTCAGTATCTAAAACAGAGAATAGCATACAGAATTATCTTCTGATAATCAACGTTTATTGAATATTTTATTTTAGAGATTCAATAGTAGGGGCTATAGTGAGTTTTGGCAATGAGTTGGATAAGAAGATTTTGGAAGATAGGTCTAGCATTATATCAATAATTATAATGGTTAACATTTATGGAGCATGTACAGTATAGCAGACAACATGCTAAGTGCTTCAGATTTTATTCCTCCATATGTGTTTTTTTTTTTTTTATTGTATGTTAAGTTCTAGAGTACATGTGCACAACGTGCAGGTTTACATATGTATACTTGTGCCATGTTGGTGTGCTGCACCCATCAACTTGTCAGCACCCATCAACTCGTCATTTACATCAGGTATAACTCCCAGCTTTTTTGCGTTCCATATGAACTTTAATCCAGTTTTTTAGACCAATTCCATGTGATGAAAGTCATCCTCGGTCGCCTTGACTGGCGGATTGCATTGATTATAAATTCTTGGGCAGTAGGCACTTTTCACATATTGGTTCTTCTATCTAATGAGCATGGTATGTTTTCTTTGTTGCTGTCCTCTTTCATTTCACATGGAGCTCGTGGGTTTGTAAGTTCTCCTTTGAAGAGGTCTTTACGTCCCTCTGGTAAGTGTTGGATTCCTAGGCCTAATTTTATTTCTTCTGAAACATTGTCCTGGAAGTTCATTCATGTTTGGTTCTCCCGTTTGTTGTTACTGGTGTTAAGAATGCTGTGATTTTTGCAACTGAATTTTGTATCTGAGCTGTGCCTTGGTTGCTATCAGCTTAAGGGGGATTTTGACTGCGAGATGGCGGCGTTTTCTAAATGATACTCATCAAATGTTACTCTCAAACAGGGACAATTTACTTCC